AGGCGCGTGTGTGGCTGTGGTGGACAAGAGCGTCTCCGGGGCGGCAAAAACCGTGGATGCGGTGAGAGAATTTGGGGGCAAATGCCTCGCCATCGCCGGTGGTGATGTCTCGATTCCTTCGGACGTCGAGAAAATGGTGCTCGAGACCGAGGTACCTTCTTTCGATTTTTGTGCCAAATTTTCTGGATTTTTTATTGATCATTTCTGGAGTGTTCTAACTGTGATTTCTGTTGGTTTCCAAATGTCCAGAGAGCGTTTGGTGGTCTCCACATACTATTCAATAATGCTGGGATCATGGACGCGAATGATGGTGATGCGATCAACACACCAGACGATGTCATTGATCGAACTCTCGACATAAACGTCAAGGTATGTAATCCATTTCCGAATAACAACACCACGCATTCCATCAAGCAACCAACCTTATCCCTTGCTACTTTTTCGTGCACAGGGAGTTATTTACGGGTGTAGATATGGCATCCCCGCGATCCAGAGATCAGGTGGTGGCTCGGTCATCAACACAGCCTCCTTTGTCGCGTTTCTAGGCGCAGCAGCACCACAAGTAAGAAGAAGATTAAGAAAAAGTAAAAGAATTTCTATGGTTTCTATCTAATGGATCTCTCGCTCAGATTGCTTACACAGCGAGCAAAGGCGCGGTACTGTCGCTAACTCGAGAGCTCGCGGTGCTCCACGCCCGTGACAAGGTCCGTGTCAATTCCATTTGTCCTGGACCCATCCAGACGGAGCTCTTGATGAAGGTAAGCGAAGAGTTCTTCCTATGATCATCTCATTGCTCGCTGGCTAACCAGGTTTTGGACACCGAAGAGAAGAGAAATCGCAGGCTCGTTCACATTCCAATGGGAAGATTTGGCAAAGCAGCAGAGATCGCTAGAGCCGCATTGTTTTTGGCGTCGGACGAGAGCTCCTTTGTGACCGGCGCGAGCTTGCTCGTTGATGGCGGCATCACGGCCGCCTACGTCACCCCGGAGTGAAAGGCGACGACCAGCAAAGTCAAACAAATCAGTCAACCCGTCCTAGGGGTACCAACGTACGGCACCTGGACTAGGGCACGGCTTGGCAGTCTAGGGCACCACTGTTTTGGACATGTCCGGTCTTCTTCCTCGTCTTGCTTGAGCGTAGGGCGCGGCGCATTCCAGTCGAGCGATGGCGGGATCGGCAGCAGCGTCGGCATCGGTCACTGGTGAGAAGCTCCGATTTGGATTTTGATTTGTCAGGTCGATTGTTGCTTGCTCGCAGTTCCCAGGAGTTTCCGGCTGCTCGATGAACTGGAGCGAGGGGAGAAAGGGCTGGGAGATCCACTGGTGAGCTTGGGAATGGACGACGCGGACGACATTTACATGCGCTCCTGGACGGGCACCATCCTTGGGCCGAGCAATGTGAGCTTTTCTTTTTCCTTTGGATTTTTGCGTTCGGTGTTCTTGCTCCGTGCTACAAGTGGCTTGTATTCTTTTTTTATTTCTTGTGTGCTTCTCTGACGCGTAGAACACTTGTTTGCTGGCAGTCCATTCACGACGGCCGGATCTATCAACTTAAGTTGTTTTGCGACAAGGAGTATCCGGACAAGCCACCGAGCGTGAAATTCATGTCGAGAATCAACATGACCTGCGTCTCCCAAGACAATGGCGTTGTAAGTTGTTCTTCTTTTAGTTTTCTATGTCTTTTTGTTTCGGAAGATGGCCATTACCTTCTCCTCTTTGAGGGAAGCACTGATTTGCCCGTCATGATTTCTCAGATAGATCCCAAGAACTTCCCCATGCTAAGCAACTGGCGACGAGATTACACCATGGAAGACATATTGATTTCTCTGAAACGAGAGATGGCTTTGCCGCACAACCGAAAGCTTCCGCAACCACCAGAGAACAGCACATTCTGACCAGCAGTACCTTGTGCTCGAGAAAATGGTTTGCCTTTTTACGATCGTACGCGTCTTCTACATATAGATTTTTGTTGTGCTACTTATGTGACATTTCGGCTCACTAACTGGATAAGTGTGTGCTGCTGCGTGTGCAGTACACAGAGTTAGGAGCCTCAAAAATTTCAACTCAAGAACAGCGAGAAAACATATCTTCATCTGGCAGACAGACAGACCACCAGACTCACAGGCTGTCAATTGTTTGAGCTTTTCGTTCTAATTTCTAACTTTCGTTTGCTGCTTTGATTTACTTTCTTTACTCTTTCCTTCTTTTTTGGTCTGTTTTGCTGTAGCATCCACGTAGTGCTGCGAACCACGACGGGAGACTGGCGAACATTTGGAAACGCGTGCAGCAGCAGAAGAGAGAGAGATGCTGTCAAGCAATGAAAGATTTGTAAGGATTTCCTTTTTCCTCTCGTTTGGCCTAATTCTTCGGTGTTTTGTTTCTGCAGATTGTGGAAAGCACAAGCTTGTCGTTTATCCAACCGAGTCAATACCCAACAGCCAGGCCACGAATAAGCAATGAAGCCAGAACAAATCTGGGATCAATCAGATCATGTGAACCACTTAGTATGAAATGGATTTGCCAGGAGAATAGTCCAGCGGGACAACACCACGAGGTGCGTGCTATCGGTAGGAGAATCGTCTTTTTGGATCGAGCTAAAGCTTACTACTTAATTCCAGCTTTCGAGTGTAAAGCTCTCATTCGTCGTCTTCTTGTGATCAAACTAAACCAAGGCAGGCCCAGATGATCGATGGTTGCTTGGTTAGCAAGGCAATCGAGTCAAGCAACCAGATCTTGGTGGAAAGTTTTTATCTTGACTTCGAATGCGTTTCTGGTGCTGCTGTCACTTTAGAGAATTAACGCATCCAGACAATGGTTGGTAAGCTTTCTCTCTTGCTTGGATATTCCTAATGTTTTTCCGGGCAGGAAATGGGGTAAGCAATCTTGGAAATTGGAATTGGTCCAAGACGATTGATCGATTACCAAAAAAAAGTTTTAAAGAAGCTTGGCAGAGGAAGGAGATATTTGACAAGTCTAGCTAGCATCGCAGTAGCAAGCCAAGTAATATGAGCACATGGCATGCTCTGTCACACTAACAGTGACAAACTGAGGTACGCCTTGTTTTGTTTTGCTTTCTCCGCCTTCTAAACGAAGAACCCCTCTTTGTACATGAGTTCCTTCAAACTCGCGGGTGATCGAAGAACTTTTTGAGATTTCCAAGTTCCAAGGAGGAGGGAGATGAAAGTCCAGTGCGATGGATGCGAGTCGGCCGAAGCAGTCGTGGTTTGCTGCGCTGACGAGGCCGCCCTCTGCCGGGAATGTGACATCCAAGTCCACGATGCAAACAAGCTCGCCGGGAAGCACCACAGAGTACCTCTCTTCAGGCCTCCCACCAGGACGAGCTGTGATATCTGCCAGGTTCGTCCGCTTTAGTCTTATCGAATTGCCTAGAGGAGCTCGCTCGCTGATCCATCTCGCTTTCCCTCCAGGACAAGACGGCATACTTCTTCTGCCTCGAGGACAGAGCACTGCTTTGCCACAACTGCGACATGTCCATCCACAAGTTGACTGCCTCCACCTCAAATCACCGACGCTTTCTCGTCACGGGCGTTGCTGCTTCGCTCCACACTCTCTCGGGACAGGCACCAGCGACATCTCCAGGAACACCACCGCCAAAATCATCTCATGCTGTGCCCAACAGTAACAGCCACTCGAGGGCCTCCAAGAGCACAAAAAGGCGAGAGCACAGGGATCACGCCGCTGCTTCGGACGCTCGACGCCACTGCCAATCTTCTCCCCAGACCTCCACTTCCACCTCGACTACTTCCACCGCCACCGTCATCACTGGCAGCAACACGGACAATTCCAAGAGCTGCCAAGTTCCTGGAGTTCGCAAGCCCGCCGCTGTTGTTACTACACTTCCAGTGGCACCACCCCCGCCGCCGCCGCCGCCGCCGCCGCCAGGAGATGGATCCAGGAAGACTAGCATTTTCGAGTTCCTCACGGAGGCAGTTCCTGGCTGGAAATGCGACGAGCTCCTAAACTTGCCCGACTCGTCGTCACTAGCTTCGAGCTACACTTTCGATCCCAAGGTAAGATCCACTTGACTACTACTGCTCTCGTTTGGTTTTCTGATATCGTGCTTCATGCAGATCGACGCGAATTTCGCCTGGCCCTCCGCTAACGTTTCCAGGGATCAGATCTACTTTCGGTCAGTTCCTCAGATGGATAAGCTGCCCGCCGGTTTCAATGCTACTAAAGTCGTAGGAGACCCAGCTGCGTTGAAGCTCAAGACGAAGCCGGGTATTTTCTTACTCCCAGAGCCGGACGACGCCTTCCTTGTACCCGATCTCGGGCTTCACTCGGCACCCGAGTTACCGCCTGCTGTGAAAAGGAGGAGAACGTACTCCGAGCTGGACAACATCTTCCTCTCGAGATAACACAGGAACTCTTCCGTGCAATCTGGAAGATGTGCATTTGCGCCTATATAGCGGCGATGGTGATCAAAGTTTAGTGGTCAGCGACATGGGCCCCCTTTCTCGATGATGCGAAGAAATGTGTACACGTGAAAGGCCAGTAAGTAGTGGAGCTGTCGCTTCGCCCCGCGTGTAAGATATGAGAGCTTGAATGAAAGACTAAACGTCGCAACTTCCAGTGCTCATCGATCGGTCCCATGATGGTGCTCATGGATCGATCCCATGATGGTGATCATCAGCCCTGTTGATTTAGAGACCAAGGCTTCGTGTAATAAAATTTGCATAGTAAATTATTGAATTTTTTAATTGCCCGATTTAGATTAATGGTTGAGCTATGAAGAGTACCTTTCTACTTTTTAACTTTAACTTTTTACCAGGAGAAAAGAAATCTCCCAAATATGATTAAACAGTAGCAAACGCAGGCAGCCAGATTGTCTCTGTGAGTTTGGACAAGAGCCTGGAATGACAATAGGTACCAGATCAAAATGGCTGAGTACTCTTCTTGGCCATGGTCCCTCTTGGATCTCTACATCTAGACTCACATCTTTGCAAGAATAAGGTGGTGATGCATCTCTAAGGAAATTTGACACAATAAATGCTGTATTAAACTGCCAATCTTTGTAGAATAATCTTTTTATATCTATCTATATTATGTTTTGGCACTTTTGCACTGTGGAAACAAGTTTACAAGTTTGATGTGGGGGGTGTTCTCGCTCCGGCCATTTCTGCATTCACGTTCCTCCATCTCCTCTGTATAGTTAGTGAGTTCCATTATGTTGTCACTGAGTTGTCTCCTGTTTGTTTGCACCACCTTTCCCCTGTTTGCTTCTATTGGTTGTTTGTAAAGACTAATGTCAATCAGCTCATTAGCAAAACCAGAAAGAAAAAATTAATCAGTGAAAAAAAGAAAAAAAAAATTAAAGTCAGTCGGGCATGTGAGCAAAACTAGTTACAATCATTAGAACACCAAGTGTAGCAACAGATAGAAGAGCAAAGAAACACAAATACCCATTGAAAGCAAATAGATTCTTGCAAGCGATATAATAAATTAGCAAACTTGTCCAGTTTGATAGCCTGGGCATTCTCTGTATGATAATAGTTTGTTGGTGTATCTCTATTCATGTGAAAAACTGGATAAGTTTGCTAATTTAATGCATTTCTTGCAAGATTTAATGCATCTCTTGCTTGGGGTGATGTAGAACGTGATATGTTGAACAAGCTTTGAGGATCTACCTCTTCCCAGCAGACTGGGTAGATCTGTTGGTCCCATGGAAATGGTGGTTGTTTTCTGCACAAGCAGGTGGTGCTCCCCATGCAGTATCTTGCTGACATTCTTCTGAATATTTAATAAAGAAATATTACTTCTAAGCACAATTAGTTAAGGCTTTAGAAGTTTTGAGAAATCAATGGATTGAGAAATGAATAATAGAGATAATTCTTTCTGTTTTACTTAACTTAACTAACTTAGAGTAATAACCAATGCCTGGAAAATATTTGAATTTAATAGACATTCTTCTTGATAAGTGTTTCACTAAATTTACTTCACTATTTTCCCATATAATGAAATAAAAAACATTATAGCAAGTATGAAAGTAACAATCAGGTTTTAATTACTCTTGTTCATAATGTTTAGTAACAATTTTGGAGTGTAAGGTTTGTAAATACATGTACATATATACATAAATCACCCTACCTAGGTAATACACTAATTTGAGACTGAATTTTGTCCATCCATGGAGGTGAAGGGCTTTGCAATTTGTCTATGAAGGGTATAGTTTTTTTTCAATACTTTGCTTTAGTGTTTAGGATTGTGCTTTTTATTCATATTTCTTTATTCTCTTTTAAATTTATATCTGTATTAGCTTTTTACAAGATTTAAAATTTTAGCTATTGTTGCTTCTGATCTTCATTGCATCTTCTTCTCCTACCATACCACAGCATTATTAATCAATGAGTATGTCATTTGAGCTTGCTAATACTATTTCATTAAATCAAGCTTTTGGTTGTGAAGTGTAGTACTGTGCCCATCTTTAATGTGTTACTACCTTCAACTTCTATAAGACATGATTACGTGGCTTGTTTTGTTTTTGGTGTTCTGCCATCTTTTGTTAATATGGAGCATGGTTGTGACATCAATTGCAAGCTATAGATGATGTAGTCTGGTTCTTGGAGAATGTTCAAGGATCGAGTTTATGGGAAGATGATATGTATAAGTTTAAGTGGATTATAAATCATTTTGACAAGCTTGATTATTATGGAGATAGATTTAGAAATGAAGTGGAGATTTCATAGGGTAGGTGTTAATCTTTTAATCTATCATCTAATCCTTTCTCTTTACTTTTTACTCTTTCCCAATCTTTTTTTATTTTTTGGCCTAAGTCACCTTTTCATGTTACTAGTATTTCTTCCTTATCTACAGTGTTTTCTTTGGCCAAAGTTTCAAGTTGAGTGTATGTCCCTAATTGTAAGTGCCATTGAGAGCCTTTGTTTTATCATTGCTATTGAAAAGTTTATGTTTTCTCTTGAGAGTATAAACATTTTTATTAATTTTCTTATCTTAAGTGTTGAGTTATGTATTAAAGAGGTTGAATAATCCAATGTCTTTTATTTTCCAAGCTTATATCCTTTTTTTTATTTCCCTATTTTTGCATTGTCAACTGATGCAAATTCCTCTTTTAATGTTTCTTTATTCACTTTTTCTTCTTCCATAATGGTTTTTCCTCAATTTTTCTTGTTTTCTCCCTTTTCCCTGACACTTTAAACTTTTTCTTTATCGGAGGAGGTAGAGGGGACAAAGAAGAGTCCGGCCCTAATGATGGAATAAGGATGAGTGAATATAATAATGGACTAAAGACAAACAATATGGATTGTGGAATAAGGATGAGTATAGCTAGTCTAAATGAAACATCTAACTCTAACATAATGAAGCTTATCAAATGTGATAGTAGAGTGAGGATGAATATAAATCACAAAGTGAGGACAAACACAATGAGTCCGAATGGACCTAGTGCTTCAAAACTTTTTTTCCTTCAAAAAAGGGGTAAGGAAAATATGAAAAATAAATGGAGTGAGTGAGATTTCTTATATATAGTGCTAAACAAAGATGGAAAGGTAAGTTTTATTTATGGTCATGAGTTTAAGTTAATGGTGTTAATAGACAGATTTAGAGACAAAATATATTATTTGCTTTATAGATTGTAATGGCTCTCAAAGTCTTTTGTTTTGGTTCAAAATTATAAATTTAATGTTGGTTTGAGCATTTGGTAGTTGCATATGGAATTTCAATTAGTTCATTAGAATTCCATAGTCAACTAATGTTTATGTCATGGCTCTGAATTTTGTTTCAATCATAGTTGTTAACAATTTTTTTAGTAGTTTTGTGGGAGCTTTAGATTCATATAGTAGTTTATAATTGTCTAAGAGAAACTCTAAATATTCCATTTGATTTATTGTTATCACCTTTTCATCTTTTGGATGGGAAGTTTATAAATACATATATGTATATATATATGCCTAGGTAATATATTAATTATAATACTAAAGCATATAAACCATCCATTTTGCTTTATCCATTCTTGTATATAAACAAGGGTCTAAACCTTAATTAATATATTTATTCCTAACTCACATGAGCATACTATTTAGAAATAATATAGACAACTTATCCCAATCATCCACCATAAAAGTTTATATGATAATAGTTTGAAGATCAAATGTAATTATGAACAGTAACTTAGCCCACAAAATGCAGTGGATCTCCATTGTAATGGAGAGTGCCATGCAAGGGTCAGCCATGGACTCTCCGATCTCAGGCACAATTGACCCTCTCGTCTTTGCATATATTTACGTCGCTCATATCTCCTGCCTTATGTCCATACTTGAATCAGTTAACAATGGCCGACTCCCCTGTGGCCGTGTACGTAGAGCCTTTGGCCATCATGCCCAAGTGCATCAAGGCTTTCGCAGCCGACTTCCTCGCACCTATGGAACCCGAAGTCATTGTCGTGGAGAGGCTCGACTTTGCTATCCTCGAGTACCTGTCGTCCCTGTACTTCCGGCACTTGAAAATCCTCTCGAGGAGCACCATGGCCTTCTCCGTCAGGCTGCTGGACCTCCCAACCAAGCTCACCGCTGCCGGTATCGCGTTGTTCTTCACCAAGAAATCCACTCCTTTGATCCGGAAACTCTCGTCTTGCACCAGCGTGAGCAGCGCATCCATCCCTCTCTCCGCATTGCGGGCATTGCTACCGCGGATCTCTCCTATAAGCAACGGCACCACCCCAGCTTCCACCATGCAAAAGCTCGCCCTTGCGTTGCACTTTCCTGGATGAACCACACACAACCTGTACTGCTTCAGTCCCAGCCTCGCTAGAAGCCGCTTGAAAAACGATTGCTCCTGGGTTAACGACGGTGTCCGCTTGGATAAGTTGGCGAGGTTGGCACACGCGTGCTCCCTCGCCCGCTCTGATCCAGTCTCCAAAGTGTCTCGCAGGAGACGCATCACGCCGAGTCTTGCCAGTTCCTGCTCGGAGTTGGCGTCGAGCTCCGAATCCGTTAGCCTTGTTAGAACCGCAGCCGCGTCCTCTTTCATCCTTGGACTTCCCGTTTGCATGCAGCTGATAATGATCCCGTAAGCGCCCCCAGCCGCTAGCACCTGTCTGGCTTGTGATCCGTTCTTTGTGATCCCGGAAAGTATTCCCAGTGCCAGCTCTTTGTCTTCAGTCGACGTAGCTGCTGCTTGATCCAACAGCCTCACAAAGGACATCACTGTGCTTGAGGAAGGCTGAATGGCATCTCTCGTGTCTCTGTCTGCTGCGAGTTGGACAATGACTCCAAGGACGCTAGTTCTTCTTGGGCCAGAGTTGTGTTCGGAGGACGCATCCAGCAAGTACCGGATAACTTCTGCATGCTGACGAACCATTAACCGGACAGTTTTGCTCTCCCTTGATAGCGAATGTAGAATCTTGAGAATGCTGCTCTGAACCTGTAAATCCCTGTCTTTCACCATTTCTAAGAGTCGAGGGACGTTCTCTTCGGTAGCCAGAGCTGGCACACACTCTCGTGTGCTTGCGAGGTTTGCCAAAGTCTCCAAGGCAGATACTTTCAAGTCCCTCACTGCCATTGTCGCCAAACCAGCTATTAAAGGGATTGCACCAGCATCTCCGATAGCGTCTCTGTTCGTCACTGTAGATGAAAGTTTCTGTATAGATCTTGTAGCTGCCATTTTGCTGTCGAGCGATTCAGACTTCAGCATCCCTACAAGTGGAACCAGGATTCCTGTCGATACAAGAGCTGCACTGCTAGCGTCGTTAAACTCGAGCTTCGTTGCAATTGCCTCAGCCATCTCCAGCTTTACAGCTTCATTTCCTGCACGCAATCAAGATCAACATCAAATAAATAAAGATGTTTTCCTCTCTTACATACCTGTGTGAAGATTATTGATCAGAAAATCAAATACTCCTGTTGAAGCTGCTTCAATGGCCACCCATGACTTGTTCGAGCACAAGTTCTCCAAAAGCTTCATGGCATGATCTTTCTGCTCCACCGAGTCGACAGTGGCCGCACTTGCAATAACAATGATGGACCCTGGCTGTGCAAGAATCACCTCCTTCCCTTGTTGCACTTCAGAAATCTCCCGAAGGAGACTCACAGCATCGGGGCAGTCACCATGACACTTCGTCAGGATTCGCAGCACCACGGGAACAGCTCCAACTTCAGCGATATGTATCTTCAAGGAAGTTCTGTCATTAGCAGCAGTATTGTGATCACGACCAAGAGCGCGAGCCTTACCTTGCAGTCATCTCCAGATTCTCCAATGGCTAATAAAATCTGAAGTATCTTAGCCCTCTGGTCTCCAGCAGAGCTCTTGAGTATCGCAACCAGCGGCTCCAACCCGTCCAAAGCAACTACATGCCTCTTAAAGCAAGAGCCAAGCCCGATCAGATTCTTTATGGTGTCCAAGGTTTCCTCAACGTGGACGCGCTCGAGCTTGATCTTCTTGATCGACCGAGTCAATTTCTCGATGTTCACACGCCCCACATACTGCCGGATCGCGTTCTCTATCGACCTGTTCCGGACAAGGTTGACGCTACTCAAGTCGGCATTTGTGACGGGACACTTGGTGTTTCCCCGGTTGATCCACTCCATTATAGCCGACTTCTCGTACGTGACACCGCCTTCCACCAGCACAGGCTCTCTCATCAGCTGGCCAGTGATCGGGCACAGATACGACGCTGGAATGTCCTCCGAAACAAAAGTATCGTCCAGAGCTAGAGAATCCGATTCAAGAGAAGGAGCGCTGTCCAGAAGCTGCACCAGCTTCTCTAGCTCCGATAGCTCTTCGACCCTGCCGTCTACTTCGAGCTGTCGTTTGTCTTCCAAGAGTTCCTCCTTGAGAGAAGACACGGACGCGGCCAAGTGCCTTGATATGTCGTCCACAACCTTGCTTTGGAGCTCGTCATCTTCATGAGAAATAGCGTCACTCAAAGCTGTTGCAAGCTCGCCATTTCTCGGATCCGGAGAGAAAGTAGCCCTTGTGACTCTGTTCCTCAGCTCCATGATCTGGTCCATGTTCTCTACCTCCGAGCAAAGCTCCAAGTGAGAAGCAAACTCGAGCATGATATCGCGAATTCTCTGGCTTATCTCCTGAGACTTGTAAATCTGGAACACCCTGCTCTTGCGGCGGCAGCATTGCTCCGTGAGCCTCACCAAGCCCGTAATATCGTCCAGGATTTTCAGGAGCGCGTTGGCCGGGCATTGTCCAAGCGAGAGCTGCTTGAATTCCACCAAAAACAAGGTGGATTTGAGGAACAGGGACTTGTTGATCCCGATCTCGTTCACTCCAGCCTTGAGAGCATCGATCAAGCAGAGAATTTCGTGCACCAGATGCTCGGACACCGCCTTGTCATCCATGGAGAAATCCCTGGAGCCTGATCAGCTATAAGATACCTCCTCCTCCGCTGGATCGGATGAAGGCGCCATGGCGCTCGCTATCACGACGCCATTTCCGCGACGCGGGGCTAGGGCTCACCGCGTTTGACTGTCGAGAAAAGAGTAGACGGCATTCTCTTTTCAAATTAAATGCCGCTGATGGAATTTCCACCTGGCAATTCAGCGGACCAGATCCATTTCCAGATTCCAGAATCCAACGGCCCCAGCGACCTCGTTGACTGTGCCGGCGACTAGCCTTCGTCATGATTGCCCCCGGATCTCAAACGGACGGCATCCGCGACGTGCCCGCCAATCGACGACCCCATTTGCTGGATTCTTCCCAAATGGAAAGTCCCGGGAATGGACGGTAGTAGATGGGCGGCCAGTGAATCTCGTTTAATGCCCCGGAAAAAAAGCTCGTAACATTTTGGGTATCATTCGTTCTTGTCCTTGGCTATGGCGGACCTCGCCGATCAAGTGAGCTCCGCGGTCCACAGCGTTATTGACTCCTTCCAGAGCGCGCCCCAGGCGCCGCCGCCAAAGGCATCGGGCAAGAAGAACGTCCACGAGCTCCTGGGAGGCGGCAAATGTAAGATCGATCGAGAGGGAGAGGGATTTATTCACTAGATAGATCAGATATTCCAATGCCGTGATCGATCGATCGATGCGCGCTCACATCTGCCGTGTTTGATGATCTCTATTGCCAGGCGCCAATGTTCTCCTGTGGAAGCAAAAGAACGTCTCCACGAGCCTCCTCGTTGGGTCAACAGTGGCGTGGTTTCTCTTTGAGTGGTCGGGCTATACATTGCTATCGCTCGTTTGCAATGTTTTGCTCTTCCTCATTGTCATCCTCTTTTTGTGGGCGACCATCGCATCGCTGCTCCACAGGCAAGTAGAAAACAACGCTTTGGTTTTCTGGATCTTCCTCTAAGGATCTAAGATCATTTCATTCGACTGAAAAGTTCTCATTCTTTTCTCTTTTGGTTTCTAGGCCTGCACCTCCAATCCCCGAGATCGTTCTCACGGAAGAAATGGTGCACGACTCCGCCGCCACTCTCCGTGTAGAGATCAACAAGGCCCTTCTCGCAGCTCACGATGTTGCCATTGGCAAGGACTTCAGAGTCTTCCTCAAGGTAGAAAAAAAGGAGTGCCTTTCTTTAAGTTTGGAGTGAAAAAACCGAGAGAAACCAAAGCATTGTGCTCGTGACTGTTTGTTCTAGGTGACAGTGGTGTTGTGGATCCTCTCCAAGCTCGGCGCGTGGTTTAACTTCATCACCCTTGTCTACATCTGTAAGTTCTTTTTAAAAAATCGTTGTTTTGGATTCCAGATCTGATTGAAACTACTTCGATTTGCTCAATCAAACAGTGGTGGTCGGAGCTCACACGATTCCAGTAATCTACGACAAGTACCAGGACGAGATCGAAGCCATGATCGGCAAGCTGTTTGAAGAGGCCAAGAAGCAGTACTCCAAGGTCGATGCAAACGTTCTCAGCAAGATCCCTCGCAGCGCAAAGAAGAGCGAGTAAACTTAAAAACTATGGACATGGGGTGTTTCTATCTTGCAGTTTAGCTGAAATAGCAACCTCTAGTGTAGTTCTCTCTTGATTAAATACGAGAGCCAATGTTAACAGAGGAAAGGAATCAACGGTGTTCTCCCGCGCGGATAGTCGGGGAACTTGTCCACGTACCAACGGTGATGCGCGCAGGCACGTGGCGCCAGCGTGGCAACGGTGTAGAGGAAGAAACCCAGCCCCGCTGGCGACCACGTCAGTATGGCCCATCCCAGCCACTCCACAATCTCGCCCAGGTAGTTTGGGCATGACACAAACTCGTACAGCCCCCCGTACGGAACCCTGTACGACACACTCTCCTTGGCGGAAGATCTTTGTTTTCTCAGCGCGATGAGCACGCCGTCGGCCCAGATGTTGATCGCCATGCCCGCCACGAACAGGAATGCGCCGATCGCGAACTGGGCGCTGTGAATCCATCGCTCAGGGTAGAATCCAAAGTGGGAGATCCAGCGCAGTTGAATGTAGGTGTTGAGGGCGTTGAAGAGCGCGGCGAGAACGGCGGTGACAAGCGGCATTGGCGTGGAGGAGGAGGAGCGGCGGCTGAGGCGGAGGGGATAGAGGAGGGTGCGATGGAAGTAGTGGGCGAGAAAGAGGAGGAGGAGGAGCCGTGGGGCGGCGGCGGCGGCGTGCTTACCTCGGTGGAAGATTAGGGCGGGGACGAGGAGCGTGGGCGCTTCCATGAGGAGCCAGCCCAGATGCGAGGGAAGCGTGGGCATGGCCGAGAGGCGCGGCGCGAGATGGCGGCCATAAGTCTGGATTCCCACGGGCCTCCGGAAGCTGAGCGCCGCGCGCACGAATTGGATCCACACCAGGAACTGGAAAACGCTCTCCTCCTTCATAGCCACGGATTTGATGTTGGTTTGAAATTTGGCGCTAACCTCATGGTCCAAATAGTCATTAAAATGGATTTAAGTTTATTTGGATTCCATGACACAATTAAACAAATTATGTTTTATAAAGGAATTTAGAATATAATACATATAAAAGATATATTAATAATTAATTTTTAAAAATTTCTTAAAGTAAAAAATTAATTATTTTAAAATCAATAAAATTAAGATTTTAGTGAAACATTCAATAATAGTTTTTTCATTATTGAGTATCATGATGGCCACTATTGAATCTCCTTTCTTGGGCAGTTTTCTTCACGGGGGACCAAGATTTCCAGTCTTCAGTGGACGAAAATCTAGTTGTTCACGATTTGCTCGAGGAGCACCATGTGAGGCCCGTCAGGATTATAGACTAAAGAATTCAAAATTAATTTTCATATATAAATTTTACACAATTTGACATTTACTATTCCAATAAATACTTTACAAATATTATCAAAATTAAATTTATTGTAATAAATTTAGTTATTTCAAAACATTAGCATATAAAAAATTAATTCTGTGAGGGCCAAGTGTATGGTTACAATGCCATATACTAATATTAGCATAATGTGATTTTAGTAGCCATCAGATTAGTTTCAATCCAGATCACTTGTTTTTATATATAAACTAGGGTTTTTGGGCTAATTGATATACACATTTTTTATATACCCTTTTCATATTCTAAGCACTCACATTGGTGGAGGTGAGGGGCATTTTTCATTGTTCTCGAGGAGTGTTTGGATTTGGGATTTTGGTTTAAATTTAACTTTTGCATTGTTTAAATTTAACTTTTTCCATTTTCTTTCTTTTGTTCTTTACTTTCAGAATTTTGATTTAGATCTAGCTTTTCCATTGTCTAGATCTCCTTTTCCTTGTTGTTTTCTTCTCATTGCTCTTCTTTTCCTCTTTCTTTTTCATTCATCTTTATGGTAGAGTAGTAGTCTCTTCCTCTTGACTCTAGAGCAACAGTTGGTGCAATTGCTTAATACCATGCGATTGCAATTGAACAACCAAATTCAGTTGATGGTGGCATTTATGGCACGTGGTATAGCTCCTCTTGCACTTGGTGCTAATCCTTGCATTCGGCTGGAGTTCTTTTGTGGGAATCCTAGGGATGATGTGTACCATTGGTTCAATCATTTCATGGTGATAACCACATATCATTCTTGGCATGATGTTTGGCATTTGCATGAGTTTCCTACATGTTTTCAAAGGATAGTATTGTAATGGTATAATGGTTTGAGTACAGCTACTCGTGGGGATTGGAGTGTTCTCCCGGACATTTTCAAATGCGCATTCGGACATGCTAACAATTGTGATGATGCCTTCTAGCAATTGCATCATCTTCGTCAAAAGCTATTTGAATTGGTGATGCAATTTGGCGTCATTTCCGAAGCCTTATGCTTTGTGCAAAGCCAAATATGTTAGAGCGAATTAAGCTAGGAATGCTATAGCCAGCACTTCATCAAGATCTTGTCAGACTTGTGTATGCACTTGTTCCAACCACCCTTGATGATGTTCTTCACTTGGCACAATGTTATGAGATGTCACTTCTTCCACTTTTCATTGCCCGTCTTTCCGCTCCACTTTTTATGAGCGATGGTCCTATTCCAATGGAGGTTGATGCTATTGTTGCTCGAGTCCAAGGCCAAGGGCGAGGACATGGTCGTGGCCGTGATGTTCGCTATTGGGCATGTGATGAAATCGGTCATACTTATCAGCATTGTCAGCGTTTTCCAGATTAGTGACCTCCATTTCCTAGATGGAGACCTTGGCTTCAACAATGTATTGTTGATGCTACTGCAATGGAAGGTCTGGACACTGAGATGCATTTGGGAAACGAGGAGTCATGCAAGTAACAAAGGGACCTTGCACAAATACGTTAGTGACCCCTCCATCTTTCTTTCAAGAGTATCATCAAGGGGTTTACTCGGCACCGGTTCATCTAGTGTTTACTTTCCAAGCTTGTTTTTATAACAAACGGTTTTCTATTATTCTCTTTATGTTGGTTGATATAAGTTTGAGTTTATCTTATATTGCTCGAAATGTTGCCACACATTGCCATTTACAATTGTGTTATGTGGTAGAACCAGTTTTCATTCTTTATGGCAATGACCGTACATATGTATATGCATGGGATGAGGCAGACCTGGTTGTGTGTATGGGTGATCTCAAGCTTGAGTCACAGTCATTGTAGGTGGTGCCGAGTCAAGCTTTTGACCTCATCCTTGGTATAGATTGATTGTAATGCAATCATACCAAGTGTGACTTTGAGGCTTCTCCCCCTTATCTCATACTTTCTTATGTTTCATCCATTCCTCTCACTTTTATACCTCTTTATCCCTCTACTTTTACCTCTGCTTCCATTACTTTTGTTCCCCCACTATTTCCTCTTATATTTCCGTCTTGTTTTATTCTTCCCTTTTCCGATCCTTCTGATAATTTTTGTGTTGCAGTAGTTGACCAGCTCATGAAGAAGTATACCAATCTCTTTGAATTTGACCTATCGTTTGGGGCCAAGATTGCTACATGTCATTCAATTCCAACCAGGAATGCTTGTCCAATCAAAGTTCATGTTCGTCGTCAGTCACCCAAAAAGATCAAGATTTTATATGCAAACATTAAAGAGATGTTGGAAAAGAGTGTTATTTAGAAGTCATGGTGTCCTTGGGCATGTGAACCTCATCTTGTGACGAAGTCTGATAGGCGTATTCATTTCTGCATTGACTATTGTTTATTAAACAAAGTGACAATTCCGGATGTGTACCCTTTTCCTCACATTACTGATCTTTTGGATTGTCTGAGGCGAAATTATTAGTTCACCAAGTTAAATCTTGCTTTTAGGTACTAGTAAGTACTAATGATCAAAGAAAATATTCCTAAGACTGTTTTTCATATACCATTTAGTTTGTACGAGTTTTTGGTGATGCTGTTTAGTTTGAATAATGATGGATGAGGTTCTTTGTGATATGACAGAGGTGACTGTTGACTTCATTGATGATGTTTTGATCCACTCAAAGGGGAATGGGAGGAACACGTTCATGATGTTTGTAAAGTGTTGGATCGGCTATGGGATGTTGGTTTAAAGTTGAAGCGATCGAAATGTGTGTTTAAGTCCAAAGACACAACTTATTTTAGGTACTATATTTCTCGTGAGGGTTTGCAAGTTGATCCTGACAAACTTGTGGCTGTTTTAAAATTCCTTACTTCGAAGTGTGTGAATGATGTGCAGTGCTTCTTGGGTAAGATGCAATATGTCAGTTGTTTTCTGGATCATCTTTCTGATCTCATTACACCATTACGAGCGTTGCTGAAGTCATCAACGTCATCTTTCATTTGGTCTCCAGATTATGAGTAGGTGTTCGTGGATCTCAAAGAGCTATTGACACTTCCTTTTATTGAGTATTAGATTCCTGTGGTAATTTATAATTGCCCAATATAAACTTTAAATGTTCACTTAATTTATTATTTTATCTTCCGGAGGAGAGGATGGTGTAAGGTTTATAAATACATATATATACATATATATATATACACACACACACACACATACAAAGAGAGATGAATTACCCTGGCTAGGCAATACATTAATTATATTACTATAGAATATGGACTATCTATTTGGGATTAAATCTGGTCCATCCATTTTTGTTTATAAGTGGGAAAATGAAAATATGCAAAAGATATAGGTCCATATTAATCTCATATAAATTTTTTAACAATAATAAAAATGGATAAGTGGATAAAACTGCAACACACCTCATTAAAATTGATAGTGCCCAATGGTTAGCTGTGAGGCAATTTCGTACCCTAGACTCTCTCTAGTATCCATCGAATTATCTTGACTCACTCGCTTGCTTGCTCATAGATTTATCAAATTTAAATTGATTAATTTATTCTTTCAAAGTTTCAGCTAAGGTAAAAAAGAAAATATAGTGATATCTATAGCCTATCCAAAATCGTCACAAGATTAGAAGCTTCTGACATATAACTAAAGCACCCTCTCATTGCTGTCTTGTTACCTTGGTTGGTTACAGACGTGAAAATTCACGTGGCAAAGCTGGTTCATGAAAACCAGTTCTTAAGTGGAACAGTAGCAATCCCTGACCATTCCGTAGAACTTGGGTGACGATTTGATTTGATCTTTATAGCATCTATTCCCAATCTATGCTCAAGTCTAAATGGCCAAAGCTAAGGCTAGTGGTGATTTTCTTCCTGGTTGTTGCAAGTCAGGAAAATCTGTGCTTAACATGGACACTTTAGTATGGCAAGCGGAATTAGATTTCGATATGTTTTAAGAATTGTTTGCGAGAATCCTGTGGTGATGGCACGGCATGCCCGCGTCCGAAGAATCCGACTCTGGGAGCCCAACGCCATAGCACGAGAATTTGTTCCACAGCTTGTCCTTGAGGTAGCGCTTGATCTTGCCATTGTTACTGTTGGTACCACCACCGCTTCTTCCAGCCGCTGCTCAAACCAAAAATCTGTGAGAATCAAAGCATTCACGTCCTCCTGTTCTCTAACACCACGACGATGATGCGAGATCACCATCGTGCAGACGATGATCACCACCACCATGTTGATGACAAATCCCACCAGCCTTATTGTGCCTCTACACTTCCTGTTGTTGTAATGAAGATGAGACTTACCCGAGCACTCGAGAGCGTCAAAGAACGTCTCCTCTTGTAGCGCGTCCAGCGGCAGGACATGGAGTCCGTCACTGCTCCAAGCTGCTTGCTGTGCTTCCCCGGACGATTCCTCGCCACTGCCCGCGTCCAGTAAGTCTAGAGCCATCTTCGCTGCCGGAGGAAGAGGTAGAGGCGACGAGGTCTGCTCCAGAGTTAGCGTTGACGTTGGTGTCGTCTGTGACGGAGTCGAGGCCGATGCTGCGTCCGAAATGATCGTCTTTGCCGGCGCTTGAGCATCCTGCTCGAATTCCGGCTCCACGGCCAGTGTGCTAGCGCTGCCGCCACCCCCAACGCCGCTGCTGCTCCTACCAAGCTCGCTCGGCCTGTTGATGATGCAGGAGCGAGCGCCTGGAGAGTCCGGAACTCTTGGCTTCGTCGGGTCTGCCTGCTCCTGCTGCGCTAGTGACTGTGGTGGACTACCACCCCTGGTGACGAGCGAGAGCGTCGAGTCCCAGTCTGCGAAACCGTCGCTGGAAACCGGAACAGTGACTGAGATGCTGGGCTTCACCGCTGCGACTGCTGTTGGCAAAGGTGGCCTCCCCGACTTCGGAGGCAGGCTGCGAAACCCAAACGCGGCCTCTTGAGATGGTTTTGGCTGGCCAGGCCTGACTTGCCTTCCTGGCAAGCTCCGAAATCCAAGCACTTGACGCTGGATGCCGGCCTGCTGCTGCTGCTGCTGTTGCTTCCCTCCCCCGAATCCAAAAGCCTCCTTTGCGCTGCCGGCACAAGCTTGTTTCACCTCGTCGATAAGCACGTCTCCAAGCCATGCAGGGATCTCCCGTATCAGAGGCTCAGCACCGTTCCGCAAGCCAGGACCTTTGTCCGCCAAGAATGGTAGCGACGACTTCTCTTTCCCTGCGGCGCCTGGCACTGACGCCTGGCACATATCCTCCGTTGTCCAGATATCGTCGGTCGAGATCGAGAGCAAGCAGGCTTTCCCGTCAAAATGGAGGGAGCCGCGGATGAGATCTTGCGTTGTCACCCCTTTGAGCACTGTCTTTGGCACCTTAGCCTCGACTTTGTGGGAGTTCTCCTTTGGAAGAAAACTCGTATCGATCACCCATTCTTCCTCAGCCTTCTTCTCCTCTTTCACCACAAAGTCATGCGTCTCCGGAGCGGCTTCGCCAGGAGATGGTGGAGGAGCCAGAATCGACTCCAGCAACAGCTCGTCTCCCAAGCTTCTGTTCTCGACGACCAGTGTCTTCGCGGGCGACGCGGCTGCTTTTGTCAGAGGCACTAGCTCCTCAATTGCGGGCTCTGCCTCTCGCTCGACGGTCTCGCTCAGTGGCACTTTCTCAAAGTCCGTGTCGTCGGGTATCTCGACTGTGTATATGGCGTTCTCTTCGTCACCAGCTCTCTTCGGCACGGACTTCACAGCAATGCCGATCTGAACACCCGGGCCAGCAGCTTCGCTTCTCGTCTCCGTGGGAACCTCCAGCGAGATGCGGACTTCCTGGTGAACAGAAGTGAACTCGTCGTTTGCAGCCGCCAACTTCTTCTCCTCAACCTTGAGCAGGCAAGGTATGTCGTCGCATTCGCTTGCCGCGGGAACGCCTTCCCAGTTGAACGTCATGGGCCTTTCCTCACTCTTTTGGAGCGCTTTGAGGTTGAGAATGATGGACGCAATTTCCTTTTGCTGCTGAGTTGACGAGGATGCCTCAGAGCTGGATATGTCCTCCACTGACGTCCGCGCCACCATGCTGTGATCGCTGGCACCACTACCGCTTCCAGTTAATGCAATGGCGATTTGTAACGGGAGCTCCGGTTCTTTGCTTTTGTCAGCCTGACTTGCACGCGAAGGAACGTCCAGGGCGAAGCACAGCTCGTGTATCACGGATGAAACCTCCTCCTCGTTAATCACCATCTTGTTGTCCTGGCTTACAACCAAGGGGGCTCCTTCCTGTTGCTGCTCTGGCCGGGGAACAACCTTCAACGTGTAGTCCGCAAATACGTCACCAGAAAGCTGCAGCTGGTCCCTTGAAACGGCCACAACTTCTCGACTTTCGGCTGCGTTGTCCCCGACGACATCGTTCTCGTGAACGACGGGTTGACTGTAAGATCCTTCGAGTGTGACGGAGATGTCCTGGATAACCGAGGGCGCCACTTCTTCTGCGCCGGGCTCGTCCTCCGGCACCACCTTGATTTCCTTGGGAGCAATCGCAACGTGAAGAGCCAAAGGTTCGTTCGGAGCATCCTGCTTCGGAGGTGGCATTTCAATCTTCATGTGCTGCGGAGCTTGCTCGACCTCCGAGGACATGCCGTCTTCCTGAATGAACGAGAGTGCCACCCTTGGACTGGTGCTGCCTTCCAAAGGAAAAATCTCAAGACTCCGCTCGGTTTTCGTTGAGCTGATCTCGTCTACGTCTTCTTGCTGAGGTAGCTGCGCGTACTGAACTCCCTCTATAACACGCTCTCGACTGGAAGCCGCTGCTGGAGCAAACGCAACTTCGTCTACCGAAGCGTTTGCCGAGAAAGCTCCTGAGACTGGTAGAACACTCATGAGGACGTCCTCGGGACGCGGCCAGTATGTCAGCCTCGTGAACATCTCCTCGAGAACTGAGATGATCTCCTCCTGGTCTTTGATGCAAGCTGGGCCGAAACGACAGTGAGGACAGCGCTCGATGGTTCTTTCATCCTCCGGAACGCCGTAAGCTTCCAGGTCGGCGCATATATTCTGGAGGAGAGACGAAACCTCGCTCAGCATCTCAGTGTCCTCCTTGAGCCGCCTCGGTTCGTCGTCTAGATTGCAGAAGGCGAATGCTTCCTCGCTGGAGTGACAAGTAGCACGCTCGTCTTCACTGCTTGTCGACTCGGGAGCCAAGTAGCGAGCAGCGTCCCATGTCAGCACAGTGGTGTCCCTCGGCCGAGGCTCCAACTCCACCTGGTAAGCTGGACGAAGGTAGGGAAATCCCTCGTTCTCCCACGTCAAAACTGGTTCGCTCAGGAGTGCATCCACCGCAGCATCGGGAGCAAGAGAGAAAACGGCGATCGCAGCAACAAGTGGCCTCTCGGAAGTCCCTTCGTCCTCCTGCCTGTGCATCGTTGTTATCTCGTCCCCTGTATTTGGAGTTGAAGGAGCCACCGTTGCGGTGATCTCCGGCCGCTCTCCAGCAAGAGTAGCGAACGGATACTCGGACGGCTGCGAAACGGATGGAACCGGAGTCGAGAGAACGAGCGCTGGATCCTCGGAAGCCTGGCAAGACACCTCCAACCCAGCCGACGCTGCTACATCAGTAGCAAACAGAGATATCCTGTCCGGACGAGGAGACTGCACCATGAGCATCTCCGGAGTAACGAAAGTCCCGGCTTCGCACGAAAAACTTCCTCCTGGAAACCTCGGAGAAGTCATGGAATCCAGAGTGCACCTGGATATCCCATCGCCCTCGAGGAGCTGGAGCCTCCTGTCCATCGTCCCTAGAACCATCTGGACGTAGGACTCGGTCCGCAAGCAAATCTCCTCCAATCTATCCAGCCTCCTCGTCACCATCTCCTGTGCATAGTCCGTGCTCGCGAAACCTGTGCCACCTTGTTCTTCCTCGCGAGGAAGAACAAGCTCTTTGTTCCCGAGTGACAAAGCTGGCGGAGCTCGCTTCCTTGCAGATCTTCGTCTACCATGGCCGTGGTGGTGATGGTGGTGATGGCCCTTTGGCACTGGGACGACCCTGGTGTCGAGCACATTGTTGATGGCGTGGAGGAAATCGATGGGAACTTTGTCCGCGAGGTCTGCTGGGATCTGGCTCTCCGAGAAGTAACTCTCCACTCTTGGAGAATCGCAGCACCCCTCGGATCCAGCGAACCGGAACCCCGACTGGACAACGTTCTCCATGTCCTCCACCGGGCACCCGGCCGTTTGAGCGATATCTTCCACTGCGTCTAAAGCTCCGGGCCTCGATATTCCACCAGCGGGAGCTTCGACGAGGAGGAATCCACTGGCGTCGTCGGGATCTTGAATGGGAGGGATCGAGGACGGCTCCGAGAGCATCAGGGACATGAGCTTGCGCACCAGCGGCTGGGACGGCCCATCCGCGACGCTTTGCGTGAAGGATTCGAGAATCGGCGTCCCTTCTTCCATCTACAAGCACAGAGAGCAAGGATTGACGGCATTCTCGTGCCCGATCGCTACGTACCACAGGGAAGATCGAATTAACAAGAAATCGATTGGACGCGCATCGCTGCCGCAACGCTGCAAGAAAACACCGATTACAATCCAGAGAGTCCTCGCAGCGCACGAATCGATTTACCTGTGGGAGGGCAGAGGAGAGAATCGACGAAGAACACGACGATCACGCGAAATATTTCACTGATGAAGAAAACGAAGAACCCTAATCGTGACCATTGGGCACGTCAGCAGCCACGTGGCACTCTTCTTCCCGCCAAAACCCTCCCCGCGTTCTTCCTCACGCCGGAACCAGGGAGTTGTAGTGCTCCCCCAATCCAAACGCGTGCTTGTGATACGAGAGCTTGATCGATGGATTCGTCCCATCGCGCTGGAACCCACTGCCCATCTCCACGATCGCCATCTCCGCCGAGAACACGAAGATGTGCTTCTGGAGCGCGTGAGAGAGGGCCTCGAGCTCCAATTGCCCTCCCCAGGCCGCGGTCGATTCGATCTCCCGGCAGTAATCCTCCAGCTCCACATCGCCGCCAATGAATGGAACGAAATCCTCTGGGTGCTCGCGGATGTAGCCCGCCGCGATCTTCCGGAGCTCCTGGAACGAGTACTGGGGCGCGCTGGGATGGAGCTGGAGCTGATCTTCCACCGCCCGGTACAAGCAATGCCCGTCGGGTTTGATCTCCTTGAGCGACAATCCCAGCGGCTGGAGCTTGGCGGCGAGGACATCCTCCTCCACCTTGCGATCGCTCACGAGCAGTGCCTGTTCGTCCTGGATGCGCTGCTCCCTCTCGGCGTCCTGCTGCGCTCGTCGATCCCGCCACTTCTTCCCCTTGGAGATTCTTGGCGGCGCCGCCACGGCGGCGGCGGAGGAGACCCCGACCCCCGCGATTGCCCTCACCAATCCATCCAGCCGCCCGGCATTCGTGTCCTCGCTGCCCGCAAACCCCAGCGTAGCCAGCTCCCTGGCCTGCCGCTCCTTCATCGCCGCGTCCTTCCCGGAGATTTCTTCCTCGATCGCCTTCTTCTTGGCCTTTTGCTCCGCCTTGCTGCCCTTGGCGGCGGCCTTCTTGAGCTCGATCTCTCGATTTCGCAGCTCCTTGATCTCCTGCCTGCCGCCACGACCATCATCGTCACGAAAACAACGCTAAGAGCTGCGACTTACTGGTGGCGGCTCAGCATTTCCATGCGGCTCTCCGCCTCCGTGACCGCCATAGCTCGATCGCTCGAAGATCACAACCTAAACCCTAGAATATTTTCCTAGAACATTCGTAGCATATTTTTAAAAGAATATTCGTTAGGATATTCTCTATTGGAAGGGATAAGTTGTACCTCAATTTTTTCGAAAGTGCAGGATAATGGCCTACACACAAGAAAAGAAATGTTTGCTATAGTGTTAGAGTTGGACCATTAAAGGTATTATTTGGATAGACATACTAAAGTTTATATGAATAATAACATATTGAGCTATTTTACAATGTAGCTAAAGTTTATGCCAAAGTAGGTTCATTGGCAAAAGAAGTTTGTTAGATTCAATATCAAAATTATTTATAAATCTAGTAAGTTCTAGATGTGTTAAATCATCAAAATCAGTTTTCAGCAATTAATTTGGACTAGTTAGGAGATGTTTGGGTTTCATATGAAAGTGATCTATTGACAAAAGTAATATTGTATTATGTGGAGTTGTCGAAACAAAACATTAATAGTAAAGCAATGAAATTTGTTATTTGTGCTAATGTGAAACTTTATTTCTCAGTTAAATATGGGCTTATTTACTATAAGTAGGAAAGATTGTATCTTTTGTCCAAGGACCTGTGACAATTGTTTCTATAAGAATGTTATGATGTTCCAACAATAGAATATAGTAGTAAATGAAAAACTTTTATTTAGTTGAAAAAGGGACTTTTTTAGTCTGGTATCAAAATTAATGTAGCAAATTACATCTATTCTTACCCTACCTGCTAGTAGTGTAAGAGAAGAACTAAGAAGTATGTTGGGAAGTTGTAGTGCATTCCAACACTAACATGGCTATTTTTACAGAGTGACATTTAATTTCATCATTGTAAGCAACCAAAGAGAACAAGTTAATAGATGATCCATGGGGTTTAAATATAAAGGGAAAGAGCCCATGAACAAGAGTGCACCTTTTTTTCCAATTAGTTGAGATATTTAAAGTTAAATGTTCTTGGGTTTGAATAGTATTGAGCTGAGTAACCTCCTAGAAAGTTTAAATTCAGAAGCTTATGTTTAGTATCAGAGGGGTCTCGAGTCCGACTCTATTAGTTGGCTAGGGGAATCACATCACATGTTGATTAACATTTAATAGGTCAAATTTGCTCTAGTTAGGCTTGACTCGAAGGGTAGGGTGTCAAGAAATTAGGGCTCTCGAGAGAGTTGTGTGTGAGACACAAAATCCCTAGGCCCCAAAGTGGAGCCAGAAGGGTGCCATGTGGTGGTGGCCGAAGCAAAAACCAAACAAGCGTAACACATTTGGACTAAAAAGCTCCAACTTGAAAAAGTCGAGAGTGGGAGTGGAACTCCTAATGAAGTGCTCGAAGAACGAGCACGAAGCGAGCAATAAGCAAGGCTCCAAAAAGGGACCCAAAAAGGAACAACACATGACACGTGGAGTGTCCGAGATGGAGTCCGAGATGGACCCGAGATGGACCCGAGATGGAGTCCGAGATGGACCCGAGATGGAGTCCGAGATGGAGTCCGAGATGGACCCGAGATGGAGTCCGAGATGGAGTCTGAGATGGACCCGAGATGAAGTCCGAGATGGAGTCTGAGATGGAACCGAGACCGAGACCGAGACCGAGTCCGAGTCCGAAACCGAGACTGAGACCGAGTCCGAGTCCAAAACCGAGACCGAGACCGAGTCCGAGTCCGAGTTCGAGCCCGAGTCTGAGTCCAAATACTAATACAGGCAGTTGGGTGAAAGCCCAAAGCGATCGTCCCCCAAGGGGGGGGGGGGGGGCTGCGGGGGGTTCCAAAAGTATAGTAGGGAGAGTGTAGGGGTTGGAGCCCAGTGAAGCCAGTTTGGCCAGGAAGGGTCAATTTGGCCCAAGAAAAGCTAGTTTGGCCCAGGAAAAGCTAGTTTGGCCCAGGAAGGCCATATCCAGTGTTGGGTGATGAACTGGCCACTGGGAAGTCCAAGACTAGAGTGAATATGGACCGACAAATGGGGTAGCTTAGTGAAGTATTCAAGAGCCGGCTCTAGTTCCCCCGGGAGATCGAATAGTCGATGCTCCCAATCCAAGTGTGGGTGGCACTACCTACTTGGATACCTGGTGTGGCTCAACGGAACCTCGCTCTAAGCCCATGGCTAGAGCACCCAAAGGCGGAAGGCGGGGAGAGTACCCATGAGGCTCGCGTAGGGCTATGGTGTTTCAAAATGTTGTCCCAAAGGCCCAGACTGTGGAAAGGAAGAGGAGTAGTCCTCTGGTGTAGTGACCAAGGATACAGTCGAGTGGTGAGGAAGTCCCAGAGGACCGTAAGACTTAGTGGTCAGGCCTGTAGGCCTCGATCCAGTGGCAGTGTTGGTAAACACGGCCATGGGCAAAAAGGGACTTGGTGAAGACCGGAAAAGGGATATTGGGGAAGGCTATTCCCCATTTCTATGGGCATCCTAAAGATGCTAAGGAGTGGATCTGGAATGATCACTCATGGACAAATGGCCTAGTCCTTGAGAGATAGGATTGTGATGCAGGTGGTGTTAGACCACCGGTGTGACCAAGGTAAAGGGGCATGGCTTTAGCGTAACGGGCTGATATGACGGTGGTATCTTGGGGTGTCGGTCATGGGATTGGACACGTGGAGCACTTGGATCAAGTGCAAAGGTTGAGTGGTGGGGATGCCATTCTCAGGGCTAGCAAGCCTAAGTCTGAAATAGAACTTATGGAGGTTGTGAGTGAGACTCCTCCAAGTGGTTGGAGGTGTGGTTAAGTGATTAAAGTAGAATGGAAAATTTAGTCGCTTACATTGTGGTTCTCAACTTTCATATATGAAGGCGTGAATTTGTAGAGAAGTGTAGTAAATTGTAATTAACCAAAAAGAACAACTTGATAAACAATCCATAGGATTTAAATATAAAGGGAAAGAGCCCATGAATAAGAATGCACCCTCTTATAGATTTTGGGATATTTAAGATTAAACGTCTTTAGGTTTGAATAGTATTGAGGTGTGTGACATTCCGGGAAGTTTAAATTCAAGAATTTACAATCACTTACTTATTAAAGTTTAAACATGGTAAGGGAAGGGGGGTTTCCTTTTCTCTCCTTCTTTTCCCTTTTAATAACTCCTCTAAAGTTAATGATTTTTCTAGACTAGAAGTCTTTTTATTATCCTCTTATTTTCTAATCTTTATAAGCATTTTAAACTCCAAAAGTGGAATTAATTTCAAACCATTCTATATGGCATATATTTTAAAGGTTTTTGAATCTTATTTGATCCCAATAATAAGGATGGACAATTAATATAAAATATAAACATACCACCAACTTCTTCCTTCCGTCATCCCTTAATAGCTCTTCCCAAGTTTATAATCTCCTAGATTAAAAGCTAAAATTTATCACTTTTCTAATGTGTCTTCCTTAAGAAAAAAAAAGGGTTATATCAAGAGACTTTTGGCACATACAACACAATTAACTTATTATCCTCTTCCTAATTTTTATACTTTATAAATATGTTAAATTCCAAAACCCAATTTCAAGCCATTTCATATGGCATATCTTTTAGAACCTTCTAAATCCTATTTAACCCTAATAATGGGGTTGGACAATAAAGTGATATATGAATACAACATTAATTAAATATTTTTTTTGCATGCAAGAGTTGAATAGATTTTGAATGTATATTAAACCCTTGTTTCATAGTGTGGCGAGCCTAAAATTTAGTTTTATATTTAAATGAATGTTAAATTACTCTTTATTGCCTTTTATTTCCAACTTAACATAACCTTTTTCAAATATGCTAAATCATTAAATATACATACTCCATAGACGAAAGATTTGGGTATAAAATAAA